CAAGTCACTTACTGAAAGAGTGCATTTGTTACCCTCTGATGGCAATGGTAAACTAAGACTTGAAAATGGTTCGAAAGTAATGGACTTTTCAAAACATGTGTCACAAGATACTGTTGATTTTTGTTGACCATAAAAAAGTTGTTGAATAATAGAATTGTTTGCTTTCGTCCAATGACCCCAATCTTCTTCACCTGTTTCTTTTGAAGCACCTAAAATAATCCTATTGTCCTCTGGCTAAAATATAAATAATATAAATAAAAAATCAATAATAATAGTTTATATAATAATATTTTACTTGATTTAAATCATCATGAAGCCAATCTAAGAGAATAGTTAAAAACTCATGAGAGTCTTGTTGATCATAGTGTTTGAACATATCTTTATATTCTCCAATAGTATCCTATATTTATTTTTGAAATAATTATTTTGATATTTATATAAATAAATTAGTTAAATTACATTTTGTATTTTAATTTATGTCAACTTAATATTACATTTATATTATTAATAAAACAATTTATATAATACAAATATAATTTTAAATTAATATAATTAAATTATATGTTGTGAAATCAAATAATTTTTTTAACCTTAAATTGTTGACACTGAAAAGTCCTGCCAGATAGTGACCATAAGTTTTTAATAACATTACTAAATTCTTTGGCTACTAAACCTTTTGTTCTACTTTTATAATTCACGAATTGACTATAAATGTTCATGAAATATTTTACAAGATCTTCAGTGCTACTTAAACATTGCAGTATTGAATTCATATAACATGTGTTTCCTAAATTTTGTAATCCTCGTAACCCGTCACCTCCCTAAGATGTCAAAAAACAAAAAATTAAAAATTAATATGATACAATTATAATTATTGGAAATATAAACTTTAATGGTATGAACTAGTAGTAGCAAAAACTTGTTTTATTTGTGAGATAACAAACTTAGATTGACCCACTTACACATTTACTTCAAACTGATTTTTAAAATCTAGTAGTTAAATTTCTTTTCTGATTTCTAAGTAGGAGTAAGAAAGTTTAGTTTACCACCAACCCAAAATTTTAATTAAATACATAATACTTCATAAAGTTATTGCTGTGCTGTCAACGTTATAGTATAACTAAATTAATTAAAAATCTTGAACATCATAATATAAATATTGTTATGATGGGTGGTTTTTTTTAAACAAATTATTCATTATAAAAATTAGATTTTTTTAAACCTTTTTTTGTGAACCTAGAATTTTTTTAAAAAATATTTTGAATTAGAATATATCTTATTGTAACTTTAAATCTGTGTAATTAAAAATCAAAAACTTTAATTTATATTTTTAATACTTAGAAAAACAAAATATCTAAGTTAGGTACTAAACAAAAACAAATTTAATATATCTGTTTTATAGCTGTCCCAAGACATATTATCATTATTCCATTGGTTAGTAATGAATACCTCTCAGTAATTATGTTTCAAAAAAATGTATTTAATAATGATAATATAAATTGTATTTACTTCTCTAGTTCAACCATAGTTTGAGAACATTTGGATTACAATAATGAGTGTTATATATTAACAGAATTACCTTACATAATATTCAAGAGACTAAATTATTTTAAATATGTTAGTTTAAAAATATAAAAAATGTCTTACAATGATTTTTGTTCTAGAAACTACTAGTAAATCATCGGATGGCTTGGTGGAACGGTCTACACGAGGAGTTGAATTTAAATCTATGTCCTAGAAATAAATTATTTATTGTTAAACATTTATGCTAAAAATACAATATTAAATATAATACTTGATTTTTGTATTCGTGTACATCAGAATCAACATCTTCCAAAAAACTATTTTCCAGTGATAATCTTCTATTTTCTAGTTGTTCAATATTGTTTGGTAACTATAGAAACAAATAGTAGTTATAATAATTTATTAATCTGTTTCTTAAATATATTTTAAAGATCACAATACTTCATTATTTTCATCATCCAATTCATCATTATTTTTATATAATGGTTTAATGATCTCTGGGTTCTTAAATTGATTAATTCTAGTAGGTGGCTGCAAAGTATAAAATACACATTTATATTTCTTATTTAATATAACTATTTTGATGTTATTTAATCATCTTAATAGTTAATACCTTTGTAGATCTATCAAAAACAGGCAATTGAGGTCTGTCATTTGAGATATGAGTTAATTCTTGAGAATTTATATCTTCTTCACTGGAATGATTGTCTTTATGATCTAACTTTGATTGAATATCTGTTGTTAAACCATTATAAACAGTTGATTTAAATTTAAATTTAGCCAAATCATTTTGTACAGTACCCAAAGATGGATATTGAATTTGCTTATCTAATGAGACGAAAAAAAAAATTAAGTTTAGTTAAAATAAATATTACTTATTTATTACTTTCAGGTTCTTCATATTTAGGTTCTGGATCTAATTCTATATCCGAAAAAGGTTTAATATCTTTATTTGATTGTATTATATTATTTTGAGAAGTTTCCCAAGGACATAAATGATTAAAATCTTCATAACCGCCTTTGAGAAACTTTAATTTTTTGCTATTATCACAAGATGGATCCCATTTAAGTAAAGCACTTCTGAGATTAAGTAATCTTTGATCATCATCTATATCTTCTGTCCCTTGATCTAATATTACAATATAATTATAATTGTGTCTATTTATCCATATCTTTTTAAATGGTTCTTCTAATTTGGTTATTAATATGGCAGGTGTTAAACTAAAAATTATAATTGTTTTTAATTAATATAATAAGTTTATATTAAAATATGATGTAAAAATTACCCTAGAACTAAGTTCTCTTTTGGTATGTTAATTACATCACAAGAAATGATTTTATTTTTATAAAAGATATCTGATGGTCTTGTATCAAGCAAACAAATTTTTTTTCTATCTGTATTTTCTAACAGATATAATAAATTTTCATTAGTTATTGTACTTTCAAATTCAAAATGTAATTTTTCTTCAGAATGTATCCCTTTTTGGTTAGAATGTTTAAGCAATTTGTTATTATTTTCTTCATTTGTTTTTTCATTATATCTAAAATCATACAATAATTAGTTAATAAATAGTATAAGATTTAAAATATATTTTTATATATTAGTTACCTAATGAATAATTATCAACATAACTATTTAGACTCTATAATTATACTAAGATATCCAATAGTAGATATTTATAAAATATTGTTTATAAAGGACTAGGATATTTTTCCATATAGTTTGAATAACAATTTAATACCAAATGTGTGCTGCCCTACTATAAATGCATCCATAATGGTTAATACACTTTATATTAATGATATTTTTATGTATTGACATAAAACATGATCAAACTATCAAAGTATTACAATTTTTTTAATAACACTAAATAATAATTTTAATTTATAAATAATTAATATTAATTAGGTGTCATTGTTATTGATTCAATATTCATTAGATTTTAGAATTCAAAATTTTTAACAATAAAAAAATAAAAATAAATATACCAGAAAATTCAATTGGAGTACATTATGTTATACAAAGACAGAAAAATTGTGAACAATCTAATGTATGGTATATATACTAATATTTTGTTATAAAATATAAACATACATACATTATAAATGATTCATAAAATATTTTTTTTATGCTTAGAGAAAGTTGTTTGTTTGGTTTTAAAACTGCATTTTTACAATGTTATAATTAAGATTAACAATAGAAAAATCTTACCTTTTTACTAAACTTTCTTTAATGTAGGTCAACATGTTTACAGCTTTTTTTAAATTTTTTTTGTACATACAATCAATATATATTTCATCATCAATAAAAGTTTTTTTCATAAATTGTAGAATTTGACAATATTTCATTAAATAAATATATACAACTTCTTCATCATTTTCATTATTTGCATTCATGGCTTTTTCAAATAATAATTCAGCTTTTGCTTTTAGTCTGTAAAAAATATTAATTATAGTAAGTTGCATTTAAATATTTGTTTTCAATTATTAGCTTATACTTACGATAGTACATTCAAACTCTTTAATGCTTCTGGTATTTCTGTCTTCATATTTAATTCGTTGATATCCTTTGCAATGTAAAGATCTTTTTTATTCCTCATGATTTGACTAAACATTATATACATTAATATTATTGATTGTTACAGCTTAAATTGTTATACTATCTAGGTACTGTAACGCTAAAAGTAATAAGTATTGAAGGACATTGCTTACCTTTGGTTTTGATGAGGCGTGTTTAGATCTGAATATATGCCCTTTAAGCAATGATTGTCACAGATTTAATTTCAGTACTGTGGTTTTTAATTTTCGAAATGAATTATTTTTGAGATATTGGTGGTTTTAATTTGCAAGCATATTGAATAAAATTCCAAAGAAATAAGTGCAACAAATAACAAATATTTAGCTTTAGAGTTTTGACATTATCAATTTTCTCAGCAGATATCTATAAAATAGTAGGTACTTTAAAATGATAATATCAGAAGGCCAGTGTTAACCCTTCAATGCGCCGTGTTGCTTCTAGGCAACAATTTAAACAACTGTTAATAATTTCGTATACAGTGATACCAACCTCATCTATGGGAATATTAATATACTATAATAGCCAGTTATCACATTTTAATATTTATTTTATTAATAATAATTAATAATATTGCGTACAGCTATTTTAAAGTGAGGTGCCTGTAAGATATTGCCATGCTCCATGTGCACTTTTCCCTACTATCATTTAGCCGATCTAAATGTTAAAATAAACTAAATAAAAATTATTATTTATTTGTTTATGTTATCAATAATTATTAAATGTAATTTGTATAACATTATAATGGCCAGTTTTATTTTTATAAGACTAATAATATTTGTTGCTTGAAAGCAACTGTGCGCTAATAATATATTAGTTTTATCTTCAATATTGTCATTCATTTTATTTTTATACAAACTTACTTTTTGTTTTTATATAAGTGTTGAGTTAGTTTTTTTTAATGGCTTTAAATGATTTTGAAATAACTGCATTATTAACTGAATGGGAAAAAAGTGAAGATGAAAATGATTTAGATAGTAATAAGGTACAAAATACATTTGAAAACGTTAGTAATGTAGAATTTATTGATATCAATAATTTGCCTATTGAAATAGCTAATATAAACGGCGAGTTTGTTAGTATTCCTTTTAGTAATGATATTGCTGAACCTTGTTTATCTATTGCTACATCTGATGAAAATATAAATAATATTGCTAATATTGCTATCAATAAAAATATTTTGTCATCTAATAGTAGGGCTTTGAGATCTCATAACAATGTTACTAGTCATTTTATTCCTACTATTTCGCAATCTCAAACCAGTTCCCAGGGACAAGCGCCATCTCCTAATATTAATCCTCCTATTCCTGCTAACATATTATGTATATCTAAAGTTCAACAACCTCAGAAACCAGTAAACTTAAAATGGAAGAAAGGTAACCTAATAACTAATGATGTCAGTTTAGTACACAATCCAGTGACTTTACCAACTAATATTTTGAATTTTAATTCACCACTGCAGTTTTTTTCACATTTTTTCACTGATGAATTATTTGAAAAAATAAAAAACGAAACAGAATTATTCTCAACGCAAAAAAATCCAAATAAACCATATAATGTATCTATTATTGAACTTATTGAACTAAAAAGGTATGTAGGTATATGTTTATATGCTTCAGTGTGCCATGTAGCATAAATAAATACCTTATAACTTCATTCATCTTATGTTATTAAAGTTATTTTATATTTATATATTTTAAATGATAAATAAATAAAAAGGTTAATACATGTTAAGTTTTTAAAAATTGATAATTTTAATTCTTTGAATGTTATATTTTAGTTAAATACAGTGGCGACTCGTGAGGTTCACGTTAAGTGGTGCACAAAAAATTTATGAGATATCTATGTTAGATGGTAAAAAAATTTATTTTGGTATAGGTACATACCACGAATAATACCAAAATAACGTACTTACTTATCTTATCTAAATTAAATTTTTTTAAGCATTTTACCCCATTAAAATGTGAACTAATGTGAGAAGTTTATTTTTCATGCATTTTGATTTTCAAATTTAAATGAGCCAAATCGTTTATACCTTTTTGTACCCAATTATTATCACCAGATTTTCGAGAAAAACTGTTATTTAATAAATATTCAATAGTAACCATGTTTGATTGTTTGATTGGTAGTTACAAACACAAAATTAAAACTACAGGTACCCACGAAAAATAATTAATAAAAGTATAAAATTAATAATATTAATATTCGTACAAAGAAACTATTAAACGCAAACCGTACACGACACGCTGTTTGACGAAACTAATGGCAAATAATAGCTAATCATAACAATATGATTTTAATCTGTTTTTATATTATGAACGTTGATGTTATCATAGACGTATTATAATAATAATAATAAGTCAATGGATATTATAGTAGTTATTAGTTGATTTGACAGCTGCACACTGGCAGCAGTTGATGGATACTGTACAATGATACATTGATGCGTTATCGTTTCGACGAATGACACGATATCGCGATAGCGCGACAATAAAATAGGATCGGTGCACACATTAAATGTGCTCCAAATTGCCATGTATTACTAACCGGCGTGTTGAGGCATGTAGCTAATTTTTATACGGCCGCCCGGAGCACAAACAACTTGTGCTCCGCGATATTATTTAATCGTTTATAAATATATTTCTTAACATAAAAGCTGCAAAAACTTGTTTTTATTAATATTTTTTTTAATTACAGTCCATTTGTATAATCATCAATTATATTATGTTATTATGGCATATAATAATTTTTTATATAATTTTTTTGGGTGGTTCACGTGCTCCTGTGCACCATACCACGAGCCGCCACTGGTTAAATATATAATAATACAATTTAAATAAATCGAATATTATTATATTTTTAAATTGATTTTTAATACACTTGTTTTTATTACATTATGTTTTATAATTTAATTTGTGAATAATTATTTTGAAAAGGATCAATTTAAGAGAAAGTTAGTTACAACGTGTTTTTACTAAAATAAATGTTTTTTTTTTAAATTATTTATTTTATTTTTTCGTAAGTCCTTATGCGCAATGTTGCTTAGTAGCAACAAATACAAATTGCTCAATTTGAATATTAAAAAATGATTTGAGAATTTTTTTAATATTTTTCCTGAATTCCTGACCTATAAATTAGTTTAAAAATATTTATTTTTTTATTTTTTTTTTATCGCGCATTGAAGGGTTAATGTATTATTTAGTGCAAAAAGTTAGTCCTTCCAAAATCAGTGTTTTTCAAAAGTTTCACAATTAGTAGGTACCTATAGCGCAATATTGACACTTGAAACTAGGCTTGATTAACTTTTAAAGTAATTGATGAAAATTATGATGCTTTAAAGTTTTATAAATTAAAAGCCATCGTTTTTAAATATTCCTAATTCCTTAACAATTTTTCTAATAACAAAAATCATAAAATTATTAGTTGTAAATTTATTTGACTTCTGGCAGCACTGTTATAAGAGGAAAATATCAAATTATTTGTCCACCAAATGGGTTACATGCCCGCCATCCGGTATTCTTAGTTTAAAGTATTTGTGTACGTACTTAAAGTAATAAAACTAGGGATCGCCACAGATATAGATAATAAAACGTATAAAATAAATTATAAAAATTAAATTTATTAGCTTTGGCCATGTATATGAAATAAATAGGGCTCGGATTTTATAGCAAAATAAATCTTTAAAAAAGCATTTTAAGTAGCTAAAAAAAGCAAAATAAAGCATTTATTAAATTTAATTCTAAAAAACAAATTTAAATTACGCATAAAATTAAATATTAAAAAAGGAATTTACAACCAGATATTTGGTCAAGCTACTTTCATTAAAACTCGTCCTATATTGAGTGGTAATAACGATTATAAAAAAATTATTTAGAACACTATATCTCACTAATTTATATATACCAGTCAACTTAAGTATTAGAATGTGCTATAAAAATACGCAGATATAATTTGGATAATTTCAAAACTATAAAATTTCGGCACAAGAATGATAGTTATTTTATCAGTTATTCATTTATTACTGTTTTTTTCACCGGTTTTATAATTTTTTGCTAATAATAATATAGTATTTTTAGTCTATAAGTTAAAAATAAGTTAAATTTTCAAGAAAAATAAGTAAAAATTAAGAAAAAAGAAGCAAATAGGGAAAAAGCAATAAAAATCAAGTTTTGTCGAAAAAAGCAAAAAAAAAGTTTACTTCATTAAAATCAGAATGATCTAAAACGTATTTATACAATAATTATCTTTCTATTACATGCCCCTCAAAAGAAGCATTTCCTACAAAATCCGAGTCTTAGTAATAAACTTGTGATAGGGTAACTGCAGGTAACTAAAAAACTGACTTCAATCTGATTCAAAACTTCTAGCGTGATCTTGTGTATTATTTATGTACCTACTATAACTCTCGTTTATTGTTATAGAATACAATGTTATACAATACATAGTAATTATATTAGCTATAAAGCTAAATGTGTAAAATTACAGCTCTGAGTTTTCTTCATTCTTCAGTTTATGTATGTATTTATACATTATACTTATACAGGCAGTGGAGTATTTAGAAATTTTTTGGGGAAAGCTGATCAATTACTTATTTCATAAAAAAAAATATTGTGTCAATGTATTTTTAATATTTTCAAACAAATATAATGACTGATGTAAGATATTGAATTACATTTTCAAGAATTTTAACCTATTTATAATTTTTTTATTAACATTAATAGAAAAAAAAAAATAATAGAAAAATCGAAAATTTCAAGGTACTGTGGTTACTTATTCTTAAATTATAATGAAATAAAGAAATCAAATTAGTCTAAATTTGTTATAGCATAAAAAATCTCGTTTTTTTTAATTCTTTGTTTTTTTCCCCGATTATAAAAAAAAAATATTGGGAATTTTTAAATTTAACCTCTCTAAAGTACAAACTATAGATCCAATTTATTATTTAAAGCACCTTAAAAGTTGAAAATTGAAATATTTTATTAACAATTGTTGTGCACTTATCAAAAAAAAAAAAAAAAACGCATCATGGTAAAATCAATACATTTATCGCTTCACTCAGAATCTAAAATCCTAAATTCATTAAGCTGCACGTATAAAGCTGCGCAACAGCGCAACTAGTTCAATTGAATTAAAATTCTTTTAAAAGTTCCTTCTCTATATTATCTTTATCCATAACAAAAATGCGTGACATGATAACTGCTCATAATACTATCAAATTACATTTAGTTAATTAAAATATTCACATTTCAGATAAATATTCTAAGGCATATGCTATTATGACAGCGTGTCATTCATTTGTAGTGAATGAATTGTAAATAGTTTAATAGTTATAGGTATAGAATATTATAAATTTGCCCTGAAGACTGACTGAAGTTGTTACTTTTAATTATAATTATGTTTATATTTAAATAATTATTATTTATCTTAACATAGACAGGTCGCCAGGATGCCAAGTGCTGATCGGAATATTTTAGGTAATTAATGACTATGAGTCATTATTGAGTTTTATATATACTTAACTTGCAGTGGTTCTCAACTTTTTTTTCACAACAACACCCCAACTTATATCAGTTAAATTTAAATAACTACTGGTAATACATTTAAATCATCATGCCCAACATAAAATACATTAAAATCCAAAAAAAAAATTATAAAAATATTTATTTTTTTTTTCATGAAAGTGACAACCGACAGACATTACAGTTCTAAGTTTCGATTTTTGATAAAATGCTATTGATGTGGTGCCGTTAAATAATTTCACCTGCGGCATTTCGATTTAAATACCTACACTTTTTTTGCTATTAAAAATTATTCGATTTATGATGAGTAACGTGTTTATAGATTAAATAGAGCTATAGAAATAAATTTTATTTTATTTATATACTAATAAGTTTAATTAGGTAGGTACTACTGAAAGCGTTTTTTTTTTTTATAAATGTACGTTCAGTATTGTTTTAAAAAATGTTCTGACATCTGTTATACAATAATGAGTGTGTGGGTTTGTGTGTTTGTAAGGTTTATTATGACTTATACCGTAGTTGATAATAAACGCACACTGGTACCTACTTTAGATAGTTGATATTATAATAACTGAGTTTTTTAATCTAAAGTTTGCTGTATATCATGCATTTATGCTATCTATTTTTTATGTACGCTAGTACCAAAATACTAAAATAGCAAGAACAGAAGAACAGAGTTGGCGTAATGTTTTAGTAATTTAGTAGATAATGGTTTTATATACATAGTCAATACGTCTATTAGGAACTGGAAAAAATTGTTTGTGATGTAAAAAAATAATAAGTAGATGTAAACCTAGAATTCGTAAAAATGTGGATAAATTGACTTTATTAAAACGAACCTATAAGCACTCTCACGACTTGAGACTAGATTAAATACTGAAATGATCATCCAAAATTATTGGTTTTTAGGTATTTTATGTCATACTTGACATATACTGCACAGTAGAGCTAGAGCGGTACCTATTTCCTGCTTTTAGGTTTTTAAAATATAAGTTTAAAACACCTTAAATCGATGCAGTGGCGTATTTATGGTGGAGGGGGCGAGGGGGCTCAGGCCCCTCCCGAAATGAAAAACGCAATTATTAAAAATTGTTATTTTTGACATGGAATATGTCTTATGGTTGGGGAATGGGGACAATTCCAAAAAATTGACACGACACCGATATCATGACGTCATGAATGAAACTGTCGCTTAAGCGATAATTTAGAATAAAAGTATAGCGTGTTGAATGCGGTTAGTATTTTGACGATTATTAATGATTATGTAACACAATTTATTATTTTAGTTATATAAATAAAACAAATATTGGATGTTAGTTGTTTACGATTTTGGCGGAAACTATTAGTATATGTAATTTTAGCTCACGACTTCTAGAATTAAATTAATAACTGTAGTGGTGAGATAGTAATAATATAGGTAGACAGTGGCGTAGGTTAGGTATTAACTATTAATTATATGCATTATATTAGTATTGATTGTATTCTAGTTTAATTTTGAGTGTCTCTAATAAAAAATTGTTTATAAAAATGTAGTTATTACTTTTTTTTTATGTTACAATTCATTAAAAAAATGATTGACTTTCTTATTACTCTGATGGTCTAAAGAGAGTTAAAAGATCTTGTAGTATTCAAGCAATTTTTGTCTAAATAGTGTGTCTCCTCCCTCCTTTCCCTAAAGAAATCCAAACATATAATCGGCCCCCTCCGAAATAAAAACCTATGTACGCCACTGAATCGATGTATCAGTCTGTCCGTTCGTAATTTACGAGTATTAGCTAGTACTTAAAGTTAAAAATGTTCCGATTTTTAAAAACTTTAGTAAAAAGTTTGTTTAACTTGAGTAAATAATAATTTAATAACGATTTTATTCAAATTAAATTTATTTTAACTGGTATTAAAAAATAAGTTCATTAAATTCATTTTAAACTGTAAATACATGAAAATATGTATAGTTTATTGCGTTGTACTAAATTGCATTTAAAAATTGGAAATTTAGCACACTCGTGGAATGTGCTTATCTAACTTGTTTGTGTACATATTTATTATTACTTTTTAAATAAAATAATTAAAGTTGATTTTACAAAATATATGTGATTTCACGAAGAAAATAATTGTGTCGTATATTTTGTTCCATGACAATTATTAATAATATACGATTTGTTTATTTGCATATTATGTATTTTTATACATATCGTTTTTTTCTTCTAAGGTAAATGTCATTATTGGGCCAAGTTTTTTTTTATCGTTACGAGAACGTGTTTACTAATTATATTGAAGTAATTATTATAACAATGTATTCTATGTAAATAGAATGTAATTTTGTAACTTTTAGTGTAATAAACTGGTACTCAGTATACAATGTGTCACATAGCACTACTCACAACATTGCAACTTAATCGATAAATTGCTACTCGCCAAAAAGGTAAGGTACGTTTTATACCAGACATATATCTACATTAAGAACCTTTTATATCTATAAGTGATCTTTGTAGTAAGTATTTGTTAAGAAATATAGCTAGATAATTAATTAACTATGAAGTAAAATTGTATATATTATGTGTAGTAAAATAAAACAACACTAAGTCATACGCTTACCGACATACCTATTTCCTATATACATAGATAAGATTATATCAAATTTGTTATAAGGAATCATGTTTATTATAAAAATTAGAAAAACAAAAATAATTTTAACTGTTGAAATAAATAAAAAAATAATATACTAATATTTAAAATAAGTAGCACATATTATAAATATTGTAAACATACGGTAATGCTAGTATGATAAAAATGTGTTATATGTATATGTATTAGCTTCCTCCTACAATTTTTAAAATATAATCGATTTTTTGATTACCAGAGATAAACCAAAAGACAGTTTTTGTGCTGAAATTTAATGTTTTATTACATATGGTTAAACAAATTTTGTTCTATCATTTTTAGATTTAGGATAGTAAAATCAATGGCCGATTTGTGATTAAAATCGTAGTGAAAATAACATAAAAGATATCTTTTGCAAAATTTAATAATGATGTATCTATCTTTTTGACAATTTTTTTTCTGTAGTTTACGTGGGTTGCAAAACAAAATAATTGGTGGAAGGGGAGGAGTCCCGTCAGCGTTAGTATCAATGCGGACTAAAATATGTTTAAATAATATTAAATTTTAATTTTTAAAATTATCATATAAGTAAATGTAAATCAAGTACCTATGTTTTTATTTTTTTGTAAATTATTAAAAACATTTAATCTGATTTAAGTTCATAGGAATATACGATTATTTAATTCGAAAAACGTCAAGGTTTAGTATTATTTACATTTAGATGGATACTACGAGTTAATTTATTACCTACTAAGTATTAATGGTCCATAATTTATATGTTTAGTTTTAGTTTATTATGCCTACAACTGAAGGTGCCAGTTGTGAGTATTAGGTTACAACTAAAATGTTTAATTTTGTTTGTCAATGTGTTATTTTTTCAAACAATACATTTTTGATGACATCATAAACACTATTAAACTTAAACGTTCTCACCTATTTTTAACTATACTAATTCTTTAATTTTACCAAATGTAGAAACTAATATTGACTATTCTTCCGAATAATAATATATAATATACAGTATTATAAACACATTAAAATAAATAACTCAATAAATTAGATACGTCGTAAATAAATAATAATGGTAAAGCTATATTAAAAATGTTAATTTTTAACCGATTAATCACGTTTTATTTATTAAAATGAATCAAATTCTGTAATTGAGTTAAAACGTTTTTTTATATTAATATCTCTTATGGTTTGATTTGCATGGATGTACATAAGGTATAACACTGGACAATATAAAGTTTAGACTTTGAAATAATAAATGTACCGGCAAAATATTTTTTAATCGGGAAGTGTATTTGGAAAAAAATATTAATCAGTAAAATATTAAACTATATAAAGTGCAAGTTAAGAAGAGAATTTTATACAGAAATATAAGAATATAAAAAATAATTTATTAAACAATTTTTAAAAATTAATATTGTTACTAATCTAATGTAAAATGTATTCATTATTATAAATGCATTTAGCATTTAATAACGTAGATATTATATACATAAAATTCTCTTAACTACTTTAAAATATTATATACAATGGTGGTGTTGATGATTAATGTGACAGATTTGAGTGTTTTCTTCTTTGAGACTTGATTAATTCATTTTTATATGTAAATATTAAAATAAGTGAATAAGTAGGTAAGTATAGGTAAAATACTCTGCTGTACGATAGGTATCAATTAAGTCGCCCTGCTTACGAATTGCGTTCCGTAAAAAGGTATACAAGTATAATTCTAATTACCAATACCAGAGTTTTTTTTAAGCACGTCTGAATTGGGTCTAAATTACCTGTGATATCTAAAATGTTTAAAGGTAAAATTATGATATGATTATGTTTAAAATTTGATAATTTCTTGTGAGTTGGTATGTAAGCAAATACAATTATTGTCGTTGTGCAGTGTTAAGAGTTTACTATTTTATGCGTTTAACCTTTTCTTAAACCAAATTTTTAACTTTAATTATGACGAAGATGTAGTCTATTAGCTGAAATTACTAAGTTTATTTTTAAATTAATTTTTATCGAAACATTGCATTTATTATATCATAATTAATATTAATTAAAATAGTATGTATTTACACCATACATTATTGTTATAATTTTTCAGTCAATTTCAGTTTATCGTAGAATGGTGTAAATAAGTAAATTGGATAGCGCTAGGTTACTCTTATAAAAAATATTTGTAGAATTATGCTCTCAACTTTTTTTCTATAGTTTTTCTAAGAAAAACTATAATAGAATTTTGTATTACATACCTATTGAAAGTTCAGATGTGAATTTTGAAAATTTTATAAATTTTAACATTATAAAATAGTTAATATTTTGTCAATCTTGACGAATTTCGTAAAAATTTTATAGCAATTTTTAACATTTTATTTAGTTACTTTAAATGCTAATAAAAAAAAATGATGTGACTATTTATTATTAATATTTTTTAATTGATTACCGAACCTTGTATTTTTTAAGCTTTTTTTAATTAAGAAACTGTAGAAACCTATTATAGATAGCATTAAAATAGTAAACAATCAATCATATTATTTTTATTGTCATAGGCTCATAGCTACATTTGCTCTAAGTTGATATTATTTTGCTATTTTTATTTAATTTTGTACGTGGTATTAGTAGAAGTCTAAAATGTATTCTAACATTTTTTTCGGTTAAATGATAGATGATAGACTTTTATGGTTATTATATATTTATTATACATAAAGAGTCAATGTTACATTACAAAATCATAAACAAATTCCTTACACGCAACTTCTTAAATTGAGTTGTGTTTATTTCTCAATCCGATTAGAATTAATATAAAAAACCATTATCTTACTACAAATCAATAAAGTTATTCCAATCTTGTGTCTTCTTATAAATAAATTATTAGCTGACCTTAAATGCTAGATATGTACTATTGTGATGAACACGATATTTCAAAATAGGCGATCTAACTTTATCGATAATCATAAAATCGAAAACATTTAGTTAGATCTATTCATATACTTTCATAGTCAATCGATAAATATATACAAATCATTTTTGATTATTTTATTTTTATTTTTATAACTCAATTAATACGATTAGATAAAAATAATTATATAGACAACTGGGTATATATAGCGAAGTAGACGTCATATTAAATGAACACGGGTTTACACATATTACAGTGAATCATAGCCAAAATTGCATTGATTCAAGTGCAGAAGCACATATTCAATTCATCGATCTTCTTTAGTGTGTTGTAAAAAAAGATACAATATTAAAGTAAGCGGAACTTCGATTTTACTTGAAAAAAGAGTGGTGGCGACTACTTCATTTATCCATGACTACAATATTTGATAAATTCCTTATAGATATGAATACGATATTTTTAGCTTAAGGAAATAAAAATATGAGAATTTATCAATTTTATTAGTGATTATAAAAATAAATATAAATATAATATAAATAAATACGGCAATCCAATACTATTTTCGAGTAAATCGCGTACAATATCACAACCTTACGTACCTACAGTTTCAAATTTTTTCTATATGGATAAAAGGGATATTGTTTTGATTCAAATTTTTCTTTTTAATTTAATTACTTTATAGTTATATAAAGAATTTATTTTCGGATCCACAAGTTTTTTGTGCTAGTATAATTTTAGAGCTATTTAGTTTTGATTGAATATTTTTAAACAAGTACGTACAAAAAATAATGTTGAAAAGAAAACATCATTAAGTCATTATAACTTAAAAAAATAATAGTTTAGTCCTTAAATATAAAAAAAATAAATAATTTTTGTACAAAATTTTAATTTCTTTATTTGCTATATATTTTGATCACATGCATTATTATATTACATAATCCAATATTTAATTTGGAATTGAAATAGGTATATTGTATATAGGAACACAGCCATTGACGGTACAAAAAAAAAAAACATATATATTGAAATTAATAGATAATTAACAACATTTCGGAGAATGGTTGCAAGAAAGTTATATCTAAAACGACTAAAATTATCAATTAGTTTGTGAATAAATATTTATTATATAATATGTACATTTTTTTTATATCTATCACACGAGACTAGGAATGATAATATTTTTATACTTTATAAAAATTACACTTTCAATTTGCCCATAATTTGACATTAATTTAAGTTGCCAAATTATGTTTTAATAATATGCAAAAAATTATGAATTGATAAAATAATATTACAATAGTTTATACAAGATTACGGGTATTATAAAATATTTTATAAAATTAACTGGATTATAATAATTTTTACATTTAAAAAATACATATTTTAAATTAATTAAATTTACAGTTTAAATCCAAAACAGTATAAACTTTATATTTATGAGTTGTAAAATATAAATACAATATATGTTGTAAAATTAATAAAAATGTATATTGTAATAACGAGTTAAGAAAACAAATACTCTTGAGGACACTGTAGTTGTTATTATTGATAGTTTATAATATATAATAAATGTACGAGTATTATATTTCATTTTAACTTGTTTTTACTTAAGACTTACATTATTATTACTACAAATTATATTTAAATTTAAAAATATTAATCTTTTTAAATTATTATAATACTGCTTTGTTTCATTAAAACTTTAAAAATTTATACGTTTAAATCAGCCATCATTTTTCTAAAGTCTGCAAGCGTATTGTAATCTGGATCTGCATCAATATCTGCAAAATCCTGATTGGAATCAGATTTTACAAATGTTGGATTGTATCGGCTCAAAGACAAGGGACAAGGTAGTAGTTCTGGCATTACTGAATGATGCGTTATTAATGCGGTTAACGTTGTGAATTCCTTCGTAAAACCCTATTTAAAAAATTTCAATTTAGTTAAAATCATTTATTTTTTTACAGTGAAAATTTTATAAGTTAACCTTAATTTTAAACCCTTTGTTTGTTCTGAGTATTAGATAATGAGCAATTCCTAAAGGATGAAATTCTTGAGGTACTCTTAATGATAATGCAAAACATCCTGGTTTAGTAGTGCTTTCACGAACCATAAAAGCTCCTACTGGTTCTTGTCCCAAAACTTCCAGCGTTATTTCTCTAAAATATATTTGTAGAAATGGGATTAATACTCGTATGGTATCTAAAAGTTATAACATTTTTAAAGTAATTTTAGTTTTTTTTACCTTGGAATTCCGGCTTGAAACCATGGTGCTTTTTTTAATTCACATTCTTCTGGTTTATCCAAAAGACTATCTGATCGTTCTGGCAAGGGCGGAGGAGTTGGAGTTTTGTCCATATTGTTTGATAGCAAATTATTTTTAAGATTGATACTTGAAGGCGAGTCCGGTGATCGTACACTACATTGAGTTAATCTATTGAGTTAGTAACAAATTAAACAAAGGTTAGGTTAAAAATGTAAAAATAGTCATTACCTATTGTCTTTTAATTTTTCTTGAGAAGATTCAGGAGTACTACAATCATCACTATTGGTAGATGGCGAGCTTGATACAGAAGAGCTACAAACTAGTGGATACCAGTCTTCGTTAGAGCAGTTGTTATGTACGGATAAACCCATGGCTATACGTTTAATTAATGGGGGTTTTTCTAACATACGTTTGTATGTATTTAAATCTGGACTGTCATCACTACTAGTTGGTGTAGAAAGTTGTCCTGGCGTGAGATCTAATCCTTTGCTATGGTCAAAAGGACGTACGCCTGGTAAGGTGGCTGGTGGAGTTGGTTTAGGAGTTTCAATAAGTTTCTTCGATAGAGGAGATCCATTATGGATTCTTTGTACATTTAATTTATCATTTAATTTCATCTGTAAAATAGTGAAATAAAATGTTTTTATGTATATATGTTTAACGTTTTTGGTTGAATTTTGAACCTACCCATGAAGTATTATTCAAATTGGATTTTGGCGAGTTCGTCACCGATCGTCTTTCCAGCTCCAGTTGGGCAGCATACGCCATTCTAAACGCATTTCCCACAATCGAATTTAATCCCTCAGCCTAAAAAATAAAATAAATAGGTTAGTTATTTAAAACACTTTTATTGGTTAAATATATGTGAACTGGGTATTTATAAACACGTATACTATATATTTTGGTAATTTTTAATAAAAAAATCTCATATCTTAAGGATTTTTTTCTTATAAAATGTTATTCGTGGACTATATGTATTAATATTATTCATGTTGGCAGATGTCAATTAGATATTATAAGTTGAAAAGTGAGAAATGATAATTTTTAAAGTTAAGTAAACCAAAATTAACTTTAAATTAACTAACCACCAAAGATTCTCGCGATTTTACATATATCGTTCTACCAGACGTATGTAAATAAATGTGAAATATACTTAAAACTCGTTATTTATAAAATTAAAATAAACTATTTTTATACTATTTACATATACCAGTCTATGTTCTTTAGTATCGAATCATAGATTGATTTTAGTATACTAACACACAAAAATCCGTAAATTGATATTAAAATTACATATCATCAAACTATTATTTTTTCGTTAATAGAATTTATAAAAAAATGTTAAATTATCTTTGAGCTATCTCGTATGTATAGCCTACGTAAAACGATGACATATTTAGTGTATTGTGAAATATGGAACTATATTGTACTCTACTCATGAATTTACTAAAACAAACCTATCTATATTTTGGTGAGATACATAAATTAATAAACGTATTTTCTAGCTTATTTTATTTTATAAGTGATTTATAGAGAGATAGAAAAGAAAAGAATTCATCTAAGGGGTTGAAACTGGTTTGTCAATCATGGAAAATTTCATTTAAAAAAATGCATTTTTCGTTAACAAATAATTGTATATTTGACATGTTCGGATTTTTTGAAATCTTGGGAACGGCATTTGGTATTTTGTTTATAATTAATGCGTCTACCTAAATAGAAATAAAATCATTAGTAAACGAAATAACGACTATGTATAAAGAATAATATGCTCTGACTGTTATATCATCGTTTAGCCGGAATCGTCAAAGTTATGAGTATTAAATTTAGTCAGTAGTTTTGTTTTGTTTGATGTGTAGTGGTCCACTAAGAAAGAATTTTTTTAATATTCAATCTTTATGGTAGTTAAAATAGTAAAATTAGTAGAAACGAATAATATTATTTTTTAGTCAGATAGTTTTTGAAACTTAGCATATAAACTTTGTATGCAAATAATAAAATATTTTTTACTTTAACGTATGTACAGTTTACATTTAACGAAGATATGGAGGAAGGGTAAATCTACGGGAATTTAATCTGTCACGGCAACACCGTACAAGATCAGCTATAATGTATAGATTTTATCATATGAATATGTACGTAACTATGTATGATGCTTCTTACGATATAATGATTATATAAAATTAATTGAACTTATTATTTCTTTGTTGAACCTAATATTATGTATAATATTTTCATGTACGGGATTTTATGGGACAAGAAAGGAATTCATCTGTATTACACTACTAAATGGCTTTCTGTAGGTACTCCTAAGGGTTTTCAGAGGCTTTGTGTAACGTGTAATTCTATTTATATACGAGCAATATTTTGATATCGAATCATTTAAAATCTTTATGATTGAACGAATAATTTTTTTTTATGTATTTCGTAGAATTTAACAATAAGAACTTCAAATAGGGATTTTTTTAAACATTTATTTTTAAAGGGTTACAATAATTATTTGATTAATAAACAATCACCAATAAAATTGTTTATTTTGCTTGTAAAGTAACTAGTATTTTCTTCATATAAATCAAATAATTTAATAATTGAACCTCTACAAAATAAAAAACAAAATTAATTAATTGATTTTTAAATAATACAGTAAATTATTGAATTATATTTTTAAATCTATATCTTAGAAGTGGGTTTTTATTTTTTGTAAATTTTTTGTTGCTACAATAATAATACATTGTAAATAGATAATTTCTTGTAGATTTGTTGACAAGTTCTAGTATATAAAAATTAAATTTTCATATTCTACGAAATAAATAAGTTGATCTGTTGAAGAACCGTTGCACTGGCGACCTCACCTTACCGAAACTAGTTTAGTTTTAAATGTCAACGGTGAAAAATAAATATATAGTATCGATGGTAACATTTTTATATTTCCAAGTCGAAAAAAAACAAACAAAAAAGCTAATGGGAATGTTATATACAGTGTCGGCGCGGTGGTGTGAAGGGAAACGGGATGGCTACATTTTTCCATTACTACTATACGCTACGGTGTCACCACCGCAAACTAAGTGTGCAGATTATTACAACTAATATAGGTAGGTAGAATAATAACTAATAAGTATTATAAGTATAAGGCAGCTATAACCTCGTCGTCGTCATTAATAATTTTCGTTTTTTATTTTTGGGTAACACGTGAATGATACCGTCCAAACCTACTCGGTATGACTAGTACGCGCAATGGCTTGTCGGACAACAACTATTTTCCATAGTATAAATATTTGCATATTATGTGTCGTGGGAGGAACACGGCGTGCGGACATACAATAGCAGTGACTGCGGCGGCTAACTGTAAGCGCCGATTGCACACATTTTCCTCCCCTCTTTGCAGGCCCGACACACTACGTGCAATAGTAGTCTCTGCCGTCGGTCTGCGTTCACATGGTTTTTTCTCTCTGTTTCCCCTCCCCGACATAACGCCACGCACGTAATCCACTTTTTCCACTGCTTTTTTCTTCTTTTTATTATTATTATTTTTCTACAGTTCTACTTCACTGTCCGACGATGACGGTGACTGCAACGATAGCGTACGTACACATAGTGGTCGGTTAGGTAGGGTAGTGTGGGTACCGCGAGCGAGACTGCATTCCGCACATATTTCAACGAGAATGTGCTCTGCGGGCGGCGGCGGTTGCTGCGACGAAGATGACTACGACGGCGGCAAACCGACACCGAGCTACCGGGCATCATTGCCTTCGTCGTCGCCGTGTAACAATCGGTGTACACTTATAATATGTAGTTGTTATTGGTTATATTATTAAAAGAACGATGAAATTGTAACTCTAGGAAAAATGCATCATACTAATTACGCTAAAAACATAATACGAATATCTATTACACGATGTTTCATCATAACGAAAATTGAAAAGTATACATACACAAAGGTATATATTAGTACTTATACCTCGTACTCATAATACGATATATATATATAATTTGATATGCGATAAACAGCGTTTTAACAAATACTTATAACTGGTAAACGAAATAATGTATAAAATGACGATAAAAACATATAAATGAAATAATAGGTACCTACTTTAAGTTTTTAATTGAAAAAAATTACTATAGATAACGTTGCTTTTGAACGAAATTGAATTTCTTTAAAATGACAATAAAAATTATAAATCTGAGTGACGAGGAAAAAAAGTTGCAAATACAATAATAAAGGCAGATTGTACTGCATATTCATTGTACATCATGACTGCATAATACTGCATTGTTGGGTTGTTAGGTGTTTCGTATTTGGCTTTTCTTTAATTTTTCGCTTTTGTCTTTGTGAATACGTTTATAGTCGGCAATACCACCGTCGAAATAAGATTATTACAATAAAATCATCGGACTGTCTTGGAGATGATTGTGCCTCATGTGTGCGCTGTACGGGTACTGTACCTACTCGCCATTATTTTATAATTATTATACATTTATGCCAACATAATTAATATGAATAATACTCTACACTGTGCACACACTCATACAAGTCATACGTATATAATGTAGTGCAGTTGCTACTGTTCTGTTCATAAAATTCTAATATAGTCCTATGGTGGATGAAATTTTGTTAATTACTGTCTATTATAAATTAATGTTTTGTTTTTTGCACTATTATTATTATTATCATGAGTATCAAGTATGTATATTAATATATACGTAATATATTGATGATTTGGTCTCGATCTCCACTGTTAAGATGTCTTTTTATCGTCGTTAACGGCTTTTTGCAAGAAATATTGGGTTATAACTTATAAGTTTATAACATTGATCATTCCGTCATACACACACACATGTACAAGTTTATAATTATTAGGATAACAATTTTATGTGTATGGTGATATAGTTACACATACACAGAAATAAAAATACATATAACGTGAAAAACTTTGATGTTTTAAATGACTAAAATTTAGCATTTGGTATATTGTATCGGAGCAGTTTTGATATGAAAATATTTTTAGAGCTTTTTTTTGTATAAGAGTAATTCATAAATAGAACCGATTGATGATGATAAATAATAATGATAATTAATGCAAATATGAATATTTTGTATTTGTTACGATACTATTAAATATTTTCTTTTACATGGAAGTGTAATTTTTAAAATTTTTAAATTTGATTGTATTAATTTAAAATAAAATGTATTTAATTAAATTTAATTGCAGGTATAATAAATAACTTTTTATGTCATTAAATAAATGCACTTAAATAAGTATATTAGCAGTATGTTAAATAAAATTAGGCAAATATAAATATATTTGAAAAAACTTTATTTATCTTTAGTTAAAATTAAAAATAATGCTCGTTTAGTGATTCTGTCAAATCTTTATAATAAATCTTTGTTATTTATTTATAGGTAGATTATTCATCGAAAGTGATGTTTTAGGAGAGTTTAGTTATTATTTTACGGATTTGTCTTTGAATTTTTTTCAAAAATTTAAAAGGATTTTTATAAAATTAAAAAAAAAATTATTTATAAATAGTAAGAAATAGTATAAATAGAAGCGAAGTATGGTATCAAAACTGTAAACTTAAAGCAAGATACAGTTAAAATGTACACTGATGATAGTTTTAAATTTTTTATTTTATACGTATTTATTATTTAAATTGGGTAGTAACTAATAAGAATGATTGAAAACGGAAAAAGTATAACTTTTTACACAGAGTCTAAAACTTGTGTATCCACACAATTTACCATGTTCTATATAAAAGTATTAAAAAAATTATATATTTATACATATGAATAAATAGTTTACTTTTGT